AAAATCTGTTGTTTGAGGGCATTAACTCCTATGAAGGATGCAAAGTGATGGCAAAAACTCATACTGGCTCGCTGGGCCAGGTGAGCTAAAAATGGACTTTTGTAGTAAATATTAATGGTATTATACTTGTTGTGATGCAAAAAATTATAATATATATATAGTAGGATGGTATATTTAACTTAATTTAAGCATATTAAGTTCGAGTTTTCAGTATGTGTAGTACCAGTATATTTTCCCACTGGTACTGTTACAGATAGTATGAACAGTAAGGCTGCATACATGTACAACTAATTCAAATATATCAATTTATTTTTTATTCTTCTTTTCATTTTTTTCACGAAGAATCGTACTCCACTGCTTACCATATAATCTGTCCATATGTCTATTCCACTTGTGTATACATTTAGCAGACTCCTTTGCCGATACATAAGTCGATGCTCCAGCCCCGACTAACACTGTCACCATCACATGTTTCATTGGTCCATAAGGTAACACTGAAGATAGTAGTTTTTGGCCAAGATGTACACCACCACATGCTGAAAAACATTATTAATGATAGTTAATAAAGCCTTTAAGGTAAGGGAAATTCTAATTGGTAAATTTAGTTTGTAAATAACCTATCAAACATAGTAATTTGGGCAACATCACATATGATATTTAAGAAAAGTAATAAAAACTCAAAGTCATCTATAGGTCAACATAAGTTTTTCAACAATGTGGTTTCTTAAAACATTTACTGGTCACTGATCATGATTATGAAAGGTTTGAATATTTTTTAATATATATCATTTCTTACAATAAAAACTAGAGGCTCTCAAGAGCCTGTGTCGCTCACCTTGGTCTATATGCATATTTAACAAAGGACACTCTCCAACATTGTAGACGAGAATAGAATTAATGACAAAAATCACTGTTTTTTTTTGTATCTTATATTGCTGATCATTGAAGTCTGTTTAGTTTCCCTCTATCTTCATGATCTTATTTAGCTTTTGCTCCAAACACAAAAGAGGGTAAAAAAGCTCCTATAAAGAGTAACAGTCTACTAATCATATAAGCAAAATTTGACTTGTTAGTAGGTCATCATTTTTCATTTTTGATTATTTAAGTTTCTATCTATTTATTATAATTTTTATCATATAAGGCAAAACACCAAAAAAATGGTAAAATTGTAATTAAAGGGCAATAACTGCAATAAGGAGTTGTCAGACAATTTCCACCATTTGTCTTAAATCTTTGTAGATCATGTCTTGCTGATCATTTTATGTATATTTAATTTCTTTCTATCTATTATAAGTTTTAAGATATAAGACAAAAACGCAAAAAAAATTGTACAAATCAGCATCAAAGGGCAATTACTCTAATAAGGAGTCAACTGATGATTTCAACCATAAGACTTATTTGTAGAACTTGTCCTTCTGATCATTTTTGCAATTCAAAGTTTCTATCTTTTATAGTTTTCAAGATAATAGGCAACAAGAGGCTGTCAGAGTGACAGCAAACCGGATTTCCTGCAGAGGTCGAACCCTGAACAGTTGAATAAGTATGGACACTACATTTAAGCTCAAAACAGTTCTGAATTTGGATTGTGATTGAATATTTGACACAGCATAGGTTTCTGACACAAAATGAATGTGGTCAAAGAATAGAAAAATTTGAAATTGGACATTTACCTATTATGGTCTAATATCCAAAATCTAAGTACATTGTTAGAATCAGCATATCCATGAACACCAAGAATTCAATTTTTGATGAAATTAAACAAAAGTTTAATTTAGGACCCTTTGGACCTCAATGTGGACCAATTTGATAAAGGAGCCCAAAATCTCTAAATACATGGTTAGATTCAGCATTTCAAAGAACCCCATAAATTCAATTTTTGTTGAAATCAAACAAAGTTTAATTTTGGACCCTGATTTGGACTAACTTGAAAACTGGGCCCAAAAATCCTATATTTAAATACAGGTTTAGATTCAGAAAGAACCCTATATATATATTTAATTTATGTTGAAATGAAACACGTTTAATTTTATCCATATACTTATTAATTTTCTGTTCAATGGGAAATAACTCAAACTGAATAAATGATATACAAATAGTTCTCTAAAATTAGATATGATTTATCCACTAAAAAAATAGTTCTCTAAAATTAGATATGATGTTATATCTACTTTCAAACTATAATAAAAAATCTAAATACCACTTAGATTCAACATATCAAAGAACATCAAGAATATGTTGGACCCTTTGGACCTAAATGTGGAGCAATTTGAAGACTGGCCTCAAAATTTAAAAAAAATCAAACAAGAGACCAAATGACAAAGAAATTAATTGTTAATTTCTGTTCAAAGAGAAATAACTCAAAATTCATATAATAATTAAATCCAAAATATTAAATATCTGCTTAGATTCAGCACAAAATTCAAAGAACCCAAACCATTCATTTTTTTCTATATTCAAAAATTGTTTAATTTTGGACCCTTTGGAGCTTAATGTGGACCAATTTGAAAACAGGCCCCAAAATTAAAAATATAAATACATGATTAGATTCAGCATATCAAAGAACACCAATGATCCAATTTTTGAAGAAATCAAACAAAGTCTAATTTTGGACACCTTTGAATCTTAATATGGACGGTAAAAGTGAAAATCATCAATATCAATCTTGACCTACCTTTTGTCATCAGTAACAACATATTAAAATTTGAAAAGCTTTGGTTGAATGGTTCATGAGTTAAAGCAGGGACACGACTGGAAACACCATTTTTCAATCTTTCAAGAACCATAACTCCTGAACGGTGAAAGTAAAAATCGTCACTAACGAACTTGACCTCTATTTTGTCATCAGTAACAACATATTAAAATTTGAAAAGCTTTGGTTGAACAGTTCATGAGTTTAAGCAAGGACACGACTGGAAACACCATTTTTCAATTTTTCAAGAACCATAACTCCTGAACGGTGAAATTGAAAATCGTCAATATTGAACTTGACCTCCATTTTGTCATCAGTAACAACATATTAAAATTTGAAAAGCTTTGGTTGAACGGTTCATGAGTAAATGTACGGACACTGTTTGGCAGCTGCCCGCCCACCTGCCGTACATCACCAAATTAATAACTGATTTTTTTTTACAATATCCAGTTAAAAATCGAAAAAAGTGGTAAAATTTGTCATTTAAGGGCAATAACTCCTACAGGAAATCATCTGACAGTTTTGACGTATATAGATAATTGGTAGAGCTCAACATTCTGAACAAATTTACTCTTTTCCGATTTCCTCTTTTTATAACAGTTATCAGAATAATAGACAAAACTTGCATTTTACCCCATATGTTTTATTTTTTGCCATGTCGGCCATCTTAGTTGGCAGGCAGGGTCATCGGATACATTTTTTAAACTAAATACCCTAATGATGATTGTAGCCAAGTTTGATTCTATTAGGCCCAGTATTTTCAGAGGAGAAGATTTTTATAAGATTACAAAAATTTACGAAAAATTGTTAAAAATTGACTATAAAGGGCAATGACTCCTTAAGGGGTCAATTGACAATTTTGGTCATGTTAACTTATTTGTAGATATTACTTTGCAAAACATTATTGCTGTTTACTGTTTATCTCTATCTATAATAATATTAAAGATAATTCCCAAAAACTGCAAAATTCTCTTAAAATTACCAATTCAGGGGCAGCAACCCAACAACGAGTTGTCTGATTTGTCTCAACATTTCAGGGCAGATAGATTTTGACCTGATGAACAATTTTACCTATGTCAGATTTGCTCTAAATGCTTTAGTTTCAGAGATATAAGCCAAAATCTACATTTTGCCCCTATGTTCTATTTTTAGTCAGGGTGGCCAACTTGGTTGGTGGGCCGGGTCGTCGCACATATTTTTTAAACTAGATACCCCAATGATGATTGTGGCCAAGTTTGGTTAACTTTGGCCCAGTAGTTTCAGAGAAGATTTTTGTAAAAGTTATTGGGCGACGACAGACGCCAAGTGATGAGAAAAACTCACTTGGACCTTTGGGCCAGGTGAGCTAAAAAAGCAGCCAAACTTCACTGATTTGTAATGTTTTACTAATACTACAGCCAAACTTCACTGATTTGTAATGTTTTACTAATACTAACTATAAAGTATTGATTTTTCTCATTGTTGATAATCATTGTTCATAAATTGACCTGTAATTGTTTACATTTTGTCCTTTGGTTTTTGGTAAATAGTATCACTGGCAACTATACCACATCTCCTTATTTTCATGTACTGTTTTGTTTAAGTGTTCCTTTTCTTTTAATTTTTATTCAAGTCATTGTGAACATAACAATAAGCTGTTCTAAAATATCATATTCAATTTACTTACCTGCACCTAATACTAATACTGACTGCCAGATAGCTTCCATAAAACAAGCATCTTTCTGTTTTCTATACTGAAAAATAAACATGATCTTAGTACTCAGTTGATAACCATAAAATAGAAAAATATTGAAATTGCTGATTTTCTCTCTCTTATATATTTTTCACGATATTAGAAAATAACAAAATATACTTGATTATAATTTTTACCGTTATGTTCTATTTTTAGCAATGGCAGCCATGTTGTTTGATCAGCAAGTGCATTAATAACAAATCTGATCACCCTTATAGATGATTGTAACCCTGTTTGGTTACAATTGGTTTAAGAATAGATTTCAAAAAGACTGACTATGATCCTTACAATTAAGAACCTTGTAATAATGTGTTATAGTGGATCAATGAACAGCTGGGCTATGGTCAGCAATCAGGGTTGATATTGAATTTTATCAATGAACAAAACGAGTGTGCATAATTACATAAGTATTCTTGGAGGTCTTTAATAGCCGACTATAGAGTATAAGTTTTCTCTTTGTTGAAGGTTGTATGGTTGCCTTTAACTGCTTACATCCACCTCATTTGAACTTTGGAGGATAGTTCTAGCATTGGCAATCATACCACATCTCCTTATTTTTATATTATTCATTTCTATTCCATTACATTTGGATTTTCCCTTTTATTTTTCTATACTGTGGAACTAGTTTGTTGAACAATTAGTTTTTAAATTATCAAAGTTTTATGCTAGTAAATAAATTGATTTGAATTCAAATATTTCATATTACAATAATATTTTATTTCTATATGAAATCTTAATATAAATATTTGACATATTTAAAAATAAACAAAATATTTCAACTAATGTCTTATCTAATGAAAATTCAATGTTTAAAATATTGCCATTAAAGGTATACTTTTTTACCATCCACCTTTTTAATCACATGTATAACAAAATTAATAAACATTTATGTACTACAATTCGTATATATGTTCTTTTGTTTCCCTTAAAAATATTTTTAAAATTGGGGCCAGATCAACTTGGGCCGGATTGACTTGGGGCAAGATTGTCATGAAAGCTTTTTTGAGAAGTAAAGTTCCTTACCTCTAAAAGAACTATTCTGATAATCATCAATATCATTTGGATGAGTTAAACACATTAGTTGGCTTGATTGTAGATTGAAAGGAAATTTAATGACAATAAACATGATTAAGATTCTCTTTTAAACTGAGTTTTACTGTGCGTATTGCTATGTGTTTCTTTATTCGACATTGGCTAGAGGTATAGGGGGAGGGTTGAGATCTCACAAAACATGTTTAACCCAGCCACAGTTTTGCGCCTGTCCCAAGTCAGGAGCCTCTGGCCTTTGTTAGTCTTGTATGTTTTTTTAATTTTAGTTCCTTTGTATGTTTTGGAGTTTAGTGTGACGTTCATTTTCACTGAACCAGTACACAATTTTATTTAGGGGCCAGCTGAGGACCACCTCCAGGTGCCGGATTTTCTCACTGCGTTGAAGACCCATTAGTGGCCTTCGGCTGTTACCTGCTCTTTGGTCAGGTTGTTGTCTCTTTGACATATTCCCCATTTCCATTCTCAATTTTATCTCATACAGATGATGGGGATAAAAATGTAGGAATAGGGGAAATAGGGGTAAAAAGAATTGGATATGAGTATTAAAAGGAATGCAGGACAACTTGGACCAAGTCCAATCCGGCCGACTAATAAAACAACTCGGACCATCTATGCAAACGACTCAAACAGTCAAAAAGTCAACTCGGACTGTCCATAAGGACAACTCAGACTAAGAGGATTTGAACTATATGAATGATTATAAATTATTAAATGTTATATTTTACATGGCAATATCATTATCTTTATTGATTTATTATAACTAGAGGCTCTCAAGAGCCTGTGTCGCTCACCTGTATTTACTGATGCTTTGGAAATCATGTAAAATAAGGTTAAAATCATAATTAATAGTATTAGATATTAGATATTATAATGATATCTAAGATAATAACAAAAAACTGCAAAATTTTTGTAAAATTACTAACTCAGGGGCAGCAACCCAACAACGGGTTGTCGGATTCGTCTGAAAATTTCAGGGCAGATAAATCTAAATCTGATGAACATTTTTGTCACCTGTCAGATTTGCTCTAAATGCTTTAGTTTCAGAGATATAAAACCAAAAACTGCATTTTACCCCTATGTTCTATTTTTAACCAAGTCGGCCATTGGAAAGCGGGGTCATCGGACAAATTTTTTAAACTAGATACCCTAATAATGATTATGGCCAAGTATGGTTAAATTTGTCTCAGTAGTTTCAGAGAAGAAGATTTTTGTAAAAGATTACAAAAATTTACAAAAAATTGTTAAAAATTGACTATTAAGGGCAATAACTCTTAAAGGGGTCGACTGACAATTTTGGTCATGGCAACTTATTAGTAGATCTTACTTGGCTGAACATTATTGCTGTTTACAGTTTATCTCTATCTATAATAATATTCAAGATAATAACCAAAAACTGCAAAATTTCCTTAAAATTACCAATTCAGGGGCAGCAACCCAACAAAAAGTTGTCAGATTTGTCTGAAAATTTCTCGGCAGATAGATCTTGACCTGATTATCAGTTTTACCCTATGTCAGATTTACTCTAAATGCTTTGGTTTCAGAGATATAAGCCAAAATCTACATTTTACCCCTATGTTCTATTTTTAGCCATGGCGGCCATCTTGGTTGGTTGGCGGGGTCATCGGACACATTTTTTAAACTAGATACCCTAATGATGATTTTGGCCAAGTTTGGTTAAATTTGGCCCAGTGGTTTCAGAGGAGAAGATTTTTGTAAAAAGCTAACGACGACGACGGACGACGGACGCCAAGTGATGAGAAAAGCTCACTTGGCCCTTTGGGCCAGGTGAGCTAAAAATTAATAGAAGCAAATAAAAAAATTCTAGGTTGAATTTTCTTTATCTATTTTTTAAATTCTTTATTTATTATTTTAAATTCATCTTGGACCTTCCATAATGCCAACTATAAAGAAGCATAAACAACAGTGTGTGCTATTTATATGTTAAACATGTTATATCTTACATCAAAGTACAAATGTATCCTTAAGTGTAGATTCTAAATTCTAATTTTGAATAAAAACTTCATTACTTCATTAAACAAACTTAACTAATCAGTTAATTATTTGTTTCATCATAATAATCAATTTAAATCAACAATCAATAATATAAATTTAATTATTCTAATTAAATGATCAAAAAAGTGATAATCCAATTTCACAAGCTCATTACAGGTCGTTGAGAAATTGGAGTATGCTTGGACTAATACTACAGTACTTCAAAATACTGCAGGATACAACATATATCAAACAAACAAAAAAAGAGAATCTATCAAAACATTACAGACATTATTTACTCATACCGCTTTCAAACAACAGAAATAAAAAATCTAGGGAGCATCACTCAATTGTCTATATAGACGTTTCTTCACAGATGGTCTAATTTGTCTTTTTCATTATTTATATACTCAAAATCAGCATCAAAACTTTATTCTAATATGATGTCCTTCTTTCGCTTTGGAAACAAAGCCATGTTCTAATTATAATAAAACATGGGCTGCACGTGATTGACGTCGCAATTGAAATTGCAACGTCAGTTGTATTTTGAACAACGCCGGAGATCGAAATGGATAGTTTTGTCGGTGTTTCTCGCTAGGAAATTAAATAAAATCATTCTTAAAGTAAGTTTACGTTTATATATTAATTTTTTGATTGTTCAACTGATTTTCTCTAGCGTTTTTGGTTCATGAAATCAAAATGGCTGCCTTTTGGATGTGTATTATAGGTCCGCTTCAAAGTACAAAAGTTCTAAATATTCCTATCAGAATCGAAATAATTCTATCATGCCATGCTTTATGCTCATTTTAACATGGGTAGGCATTATATTTGTCAATATTTTACACCTCGCTAACGCTCGGTATAAAGATATTCACAAATATAATGCCTACCCATGTTAAAATGAGCATAAAGCATGGCATGAAAGAATTATTTCTTAATTAGAGACTTCTCATCAGACAGTTTTATACTTAGTCTGAGTTGTCATTATAGACAGTCCGAGTTGTCTTTATCGACAGTCCAAATTTGACTTATTGATGGTCCAAGTTGTCTTCATAGATGGGCCAAGTTGTTTTTTTTAACATTTAACTCAAATTATCTTTTCTTCCGTATTTATGTTCTCTTTTCATATAAATATAAAACTGAATTTTCAACAATGTTTATTGTCATAAATAAATAGATATTCAAATGTATTGCTAATATTACTGTATGTATGTTTGATGTGTTGTATTTGTTGTAATTCTTGAAAATAAAATTAAAAAAAAAAAGTTGTTTTTTTTTGGAGACAATCCGAGTTGTCTCCGGGCCAACTTGTCTCACACCTATTAAAACAAGGCGAAAAAAGTGGGAAGTTTGAGTAGAAGTCAAATCGGCACCTATAGAAAAAGTCAAATCGGCACCTGGTTAAATCAACATCTGGTCAAATCTGCACCTACAAATGTATTTAAAGTCAATTCTGCATCCGATAATTATAGAATAACTAATCGAAGAATTCAAATAGAGAAAAATATTCAACGAGTGACCGAACAACAAATTAATTCACGAATGCCCGTAGCGCATGAGTTAATTATCAGTGTTGGTCGGTCACAAGTTGAATATTTTTCGATATTTGAATTCTTTGATTAGTTATTCTTTTTATTACATTGCCAAATGGCTTTTTTTAATGAAATTAATGTAGAAAATGTAAGGAACTATATCTTTTTTCTACGCATTCACAATTTGTTTTGATCCGACGTTATCGACGTCTTGACAACGCCTATTGTTGTATGACGTCAGAGAGTTAAATAACCACGTTTATTTCACATGTGAAATTATCGAATTTTATTTGTAATTCAATGCTACCAATGTAATAATATTTGATATAATATTTACATAATAGTTATTGAAAAACTGGTCATTATCGTGATATATGGACTGCCCACAGGAGCCGTAGGCGAGGTCATTATCGCTGTTACAGTCAATACCACTGTCATACGGGCAGTCCTTGTATCACGATAATGACCAGTTCTTCAATAACTATTATGTTTATTTCATTGAGGAACCATGTTTTTAAAAATTCTCATAAATTCAAATTGTTCAAAGCAAACTCAAGTTATTGTACGATTTCTATAGGAAAGAGTGAAGACCAGTCATAGTGATAACTATAAGTCACTGCCATTCATTTAAGTGCAATTTTTCAGTATATGAATACAAAATAAAGTTTTCTATAATTTTATAATTAACGAATCGCGATTGTGTTTTATTAAAGGAACATCACTCTAAACAGAGAAACCACGCCCCACTGGTCATTAACATGTAAAAGTCCGTTAACAACCGGTTTTCTGGTCCGTATTTTTCTGTTAAGACCGAGGATTTTTTTACTAAAGAATAAAGAATGTCATGTGGCCCCTTGTTATCCAATAAGAAAAGCTAATTCTTAACCATGTTAACCGATATGAAATAATTAACATGTTTGTTGTTTAAATGCTATACAGGTAGTTATTGATGTTTTTTCTTTAAAAACTTAAATAAAAAGACGATGAAGCCATTACCCAAGCTGTTGTTTAATCATGAGAAAATTAGAAGCAAATAACTTTAAGTAGTATTTCAGGAAAGTTTAAACACCATTAAACCATACTTGCCAACATTTCAAAATGCCCATGGTTTTTTTTTGTGCAAGATTGCTCTCATAGTCCCACAAAACATTTAAAGGAGCCTTCAATTTTATTTTTATGATGTTTATTTGCTTCTTCATACTTTTACAATCATATATCCATGGTAAAATTGATTGTTTTGCTTTAAACTGTGGACAAAAATTGCTCTTTTAAAATTTCCAATTGGGAGCCTCCATGGGGGAAATCCCCCCACAAATAGTGACAGTTGGCAGGTATGTTAAACCAAAAAATTCATAAGGGTTCCACGGAACCCAGTGTCTCGCCTACTTTTGCTGTTAATCGAGTTTGGTACAAATTCAAGATAGTTTAAGAAAGTTGTTAAAATTTTAAAAACTTTAACCACAGAGTGAATGTAATGTTAACTGGCAGAAAAACTAAGTCCATTTATAAGTAAAATACGGAAAACAAGGAATTTTTTTTTACAAAATTTACTTCTGGATACTATCTTATGATCATAAACAAGCTTCTGTCCAAGTTTGGTAGAAATCCTGGATAGTTTAAGAAAGTTATTAAAATTTCAAAAACTTTAACCATAGAGTGAATGTAATGTTTCCTGGCAGAAAAACTAAGTCCATTTATAAGTAACATACGGAAAAATAGATTTTTTTTTTACAAAATTTACTTTTGAATATTATCCAGTGATCGGGAAGGACGTGCGCCTTGCGCCAATTGCGCTTATCGACCAGAAATGGCGCATAGAGTGACAAATGTAAGCGCCCGCGTGGCGCATGATATTTTTCACTTCGTTTTGAAACGTTGCGATATCGTCAAATGGATTTTCGGTCGTATTTCGTGCCGCCATGTGTGAGTACACAACTGTGTAGTGTTTGCTCCAATGATAGGAGCACCTATATATTTTTGGGACGTCTCGGGTGTTTTCCTATGGTAATAATAGCAACATGCGGTATGACTGATTACCCAAAAAACGTATTTAACCATCATTCATGATATATTTTTTTATAAACAACTTTAAATTTGTGAAATTGGCTAGTGCAGGCGAGAATTCTTCTCTAATTATAATCTTTTAAGTAAGCTTGCTATTATTTCGATTGAAAAATCCAAAAGCCTTTTATGAATAGCATAGTATTTGTCTCCATAAAAGGGGCTTAACTGTCCTTGTCAATTTTTTTGGTCTTTGGCTCGTTTTGACATTTTGTAAACATGCCTTCAGCGAATTGTTGTTGTGTCATTTCAATTAACGTTGCTCTCTACTGTTATTCTTGTCATCGTGATGAAGTAATATAATAATACAAGTGCAGAGGAAATGCCAGAAACGTCCTCTAATACGGAACGTCTGGAATAAGTATGGTATCGACGAAGACCCAAATTTAATGTAAAAAAAACATGAACATGAACAAGGGAACAGTACCAGTTTTAACATTGTAAATAAAGGTTATCGTAAATATTGCCCGGTTTGGAAGAAGTTATTGTATATTCATTGAAATTGAAATTACAAAATCACAGGAACAATATCCATGATATTAATTAGAATCGTACTTGTAAGTACAGTGAAATATACACTTTTTTTATTTTTTTTTTTTTGTAAACGAATGGCCCACTCATTTGACAACATGGCCCATTAATTCTAAAAATGGCCCATTGAATTTATTTTTGGGGGGCCCTGGGCCCATAGAGAAAAAATCCTTCCAGATCACTGATTATCTTATGATCATAAACAAGCTTCTGTCCAAGTTTGGTAGAAATCCAGGATAGTTTGAGAAAGTTATTAAAATTTCAAAAACTTTAACCACAGAGTGAATATTTGTGGACGCCGCCACCGCCGATGACGATGACGACGACGCCAACGGAATGTTACTGAGGATCGCTATGTCTCGCTTTTTCGACAAAAGTCGAAGGCTTGACAAAAATCATGCAAAATGCTCAACTGGTTAAAACATGCATAACAAATATCAAATACCTTGAATACACAGTTGAATGAAAAAAATACATACAAATAAAACATGTAAATAAGTCAGTATTTCTGGACAATGCCTTCTTTATTTTAATCTTTGTGCTTAAAATACTGAAAAAAGATATATATTCAACATGGGTGCCGGATTGACTACATCGGTGCCGATTTAACCATGTGCCGATTTGACTATACTGGGTGCCGATTTAACCATGTGCCGATTTGGATTTGACTAGGAAGTTTAAGTGTTTATTTATTATTACAATACCTTCTGCTATTCTGTCACATATTGAGTGTTTGTATATATATGTATTATTGATGTGGATGTTATTCAAATGTGCACCTATAATTTATATAGACTTTGGTAATAAAGATATATTACAGTGAAGTGGACACAGGCGCTTGTTTCTATCCATGGGAAGGTCGACGACTTGGCCTGAAATGGCTTTTCAATGGTTTACACCTCTAGCTTGCTCTAATTTAAAAGGTTAACAGATCCAAATTAACTGGCCGTCTTGTTTGGAAATGCGCATAACTGCTGAATTTATTTTAAGCCAAATCAGTTAATTCTATTTTAAAACAGTACACATTGTTACAAAGGGGTGTCGGTTTCTTTACCCTCCCCCTTTTCAAGGCTTTTGTTTTAACTGGTTGTTTGACGTTGCCTATTGCAAATTTCAATGAATAAATCTTACTAACTTCTGCAAGTTTGGCTCTTTTTGCTGCATCTAATACTGTCATCTCTAACTTAAATGCCTGTAAATACTATTTTATCATTTTTCTACAGAGACAGTCACAATTTTTTTATGTAAACTCTAATGATGTTAAGTCAAAAGGTGTTCCGATATTGTGTTATCTCCCCATAGATTTCCCGCGAAAATTTTACAAATATATACATTTGACGTCATAATAAAATAAGATTCCAAATCGACGACCAATTAAATACTACTCCCCTCTATTAAATCGACGTATTTTTATTGTTATCGACAGAGACATATAATAAATATTAAAATTGTTACGTGAGGGTACCCAAATTGCACCTACTTTTGACAGTTTTTTTCACCTACGTTTTTTTATGATCCAGACAAAAGATTCCATTCTGTGTTTATTTTGTAGATGTATCCTTATTTACTATATAGTTACACCAATTCAATTTTGAATTCATATTGAATCATAGAAAAATGGTTTTGAACCGACCTCCAAACGATCCATGATTCTGTAATGAGGAGTATCCAAATTGCATCCATGCTTAAATTCCATGCCAAGAAATCCTCGCTAAAAATTCCGTTGGACCTCCTACGGCACCTATTAGTAGTTAAAGATTTGATTTCATTCAACAAATTAATTTATGACCTGCAAGTACGTGTCGCTTAGAACACGGCCATATACCAAATGGTCAATATTAATCATCCATGTAATTTGCTCTATGGGATGTTTGCAAAATTTCAACGGAGGCAATTTCTTGGCATGACGAGACAGCATCTCAGCGATAAAAGAATATGTTTGAAAGAACTATGCACTTGGCTACCTTTTTTTCTTCAATTCGTTTTTAAAACGTCATGGCTTCTTCAACTTGAATAATAGAAAATAAAACTATATATCAAACGAAAACTGGATAAAGTGAGAAACAAGTTTCTTTCATTAGTGAAAATTACTGCTTCATTGCTTATCTCAGAGTTCGACCCCTACATTTGGTAGCTTGGTTCGACTCCAATCTTAATTGACTAGGATTGACAGTTTCCTTGCCGAAGGTCAGTGGTTCTCTCCGGGCGTCCCAGCTTTCTACACACAAAAAAGCTGGTCACCATGAAATAGAAAATAATGATAGAAGTGGCGTTAAAGACCAACAATGAATACATCAATCATTATATATCTTAGACGTTTCAAACACATCTCGTAGATTTTTTAAACACGAATCTATTTTTTTTAAATTGAATTTGACAATAGCAATTTTCCCGCATCGTATAATGGTGAATCCGCATAACACTGTAATATGTGCCGTTGGACATGAAAAAGCTTAACCTCTAATAATTTTGAATAACTAGGAGAATAGATGAATTTTAAAGCAGAACTATTTTAATTATTTGTCAGCTATTTTAGGGGAAAGCAATAAGTATTGAGCAGATATTTAAGATTCCCGAGGATAAGGCAACATTAAAGGGACCTGTCTTTAAAGGTTGGTGTGTCCATCATATTACATATGTGGCAACCTTTTGTTTAAGGCTTAAAACAAATTAAACTTTTCAAAGTTATTCAAGTTCCATTACTAACTTAATGTCGACACCTTATAATGTAGAATATCTATTTTAAACAGAAAAGGGTAATTTCTATGTCAAAAGATTGCAAAATTTCTGAGAATGAATAGAACAGTCCCTATTCGAATGCAGCATTTGCTAACTTAGTAGACATGTCTTTGACAAGCAATACTTTGAACCACTGACAGTGTCTTTAACGATCCCATGCGCAAAAATGACAAAATTGAAAAAACAGAGTATTGTCCCTGCTAAACTGAAGAGTGTAGGTTTCAGCCGGAGAGTTCCCGATGAAGACATTTTTTTTTCAGTTAAAAAATTTGAGGTACACATGCAGTCTACAAAATGAAACAAAAGTTGAAAATATGATGCTCGTCTTGGCGTATACTCAAAAATGTACTTATTTGGGACTGCTTAGACATGAAATGATGTCACAAGACACATGCGACCAGTAACGGCTTTTATAGAATGAGTTGCCCCTCAATCATACACCTTTGACACATAGTCCCACAATGCCCTAATGTTCTAAAGCAAAATAAAAAATATCTTAAAATCCACTATAAAAGAAATAACATAACTAATAATTTTAACCATAAAATTTTATATGAAAAAAACCCACTGATATTAAAGTTTACATTCATTACAAATGACAGGAACTATATTTGTAGACAATCGATTACGAGCGACCAAACAGGTCATTTTTGAAAATCAGATCATTTCGTCTTTTTCTATTTAGTTCTTTGAGTCTCTTTTTTGCTTTTTTTCCACTTTATTATTCATGACATGAAAGTTTTAACCTTAACTTCATGTTCTAAAACATATACGTGTGCATTGTGCTTCAATGAAAAAATATGGGGTAAACGTCAATGAGACAGCCACCTAGTGACAGAAATAACCGAAAGACATGTGCTCGGTTTGACGGTAAACCAGATATATGCGAGATTCCCTCACGTGATAAAGGAAGAAAGATCATTCACAATTTGTCTTACATTTGTTTTTCTCTCTTTTAATTAAAATAAAAAAAAAAACTTTCGAATGTTGAGTTCATAAGATAAAAATATTCCCTGTGGAACCCCCCTTTCTTTTTTTGGTGCTCTCCAATTTCAACCCCCAAATAAGGCTTTCCAATCTAATTAAAATTAAAATCTTGCTTTCTAACCAATCTATTCATGTACCGGACCGGGAACTTTCTTTATTTAATAAGAAAATCTACGGTGCCGTTATATAAATGCATGTTGTCTGCTTGGAGTCCCCGTCCGAAAAGAAAGAAATAGCCTAACTCCAAGATACTACATTCCTGCATCACGTGATTTTTGCCACGTGGAGCTTACATTAGAATGAATACCGAATATGGAAAGTGAAACTACAGTTCAAAACATAAAGTCCGAAAGCACATAGAAGAAAAAGAAGGATTTTTTTTGGCAAAAGGTGCCGGGGTAATCTTCTCTGTGTTCATAATATACACGAAATATTTGCCACTGCCCCTTGTCTGTTCTATAAATTGTAATCCTGAGTTTTCTATCTGTTACATGCCAAGAAATCCTCGCTAAAAATTCCGTTGGACCTCCTACGGCACCTATTAGTAGTTAAAGATTTGATTTCATTCAACAAATTAATTTATGACCTGCAAGTACGTGTCGCTTAGAACACGGCCATATACCAAATGGTCAATATTAATCATCCATGTAATTTGCTCTATGGGATGTTTGCAAAATTTCAACGGAGGCAATTTCTTGGCATGCACATCCTTAAAAATCGAATAATAGACGTTTTGTTTTATTTCTTCAAATATTTAGAACAATTTGACATTAGTTCATGCTTACTATTCATTTTTAAAGAAATGGATGCTTGTAACATATTTTATTTGCTCATTTTTAAAAGATGATTTTTTGTGAACGTCGCATGGCGACGTTTCCGCAGATTTTACATTTTTCCAGTGAATGCTTCATCTGTTGATATATACTGTGAACCTTTTGTGTATATTTAATTATATTTACCTATGTTAAAAGACGTGTATAATGTCAAATCATGAAAATACAAATTATTTAGCATCAAAGAAAACTTGTAAGATTTCCGCGGCTATTTTTGTTGAATAGGTGCAATTTGGGTACTCGGTGCAATTTGGGTACTGTGACGTTATATCTATTATATTTCTCTGTTCTCAAATCGACGTCAAATTTTTTGCTTCTCTAATCGACGTCCTTTTCTACGGACTTGCCGCATGACACATAGGTACTTGGGGACAGGACAATTTTTTGTTTGGCCCTCCCCATTTTTTCCAACATAAGTTATTTATTCGTTTTCTGTTAATTTCAATCATTTTCGCGTTTTTCTGTATTATACGAACATAAATATACTACAAATAACTAATATTTGCTATTTACTATCAATTCGAAGTTTACTATCCATAGTGGTCACTGATATATTATAGAATTAACTTTTCAGAGGAAAATTGTGGATTTACTGTGACCTTTAACTCAAAAAGTTGTTTAGAAATATAAAATTTTAAATCTTGCAGAGTTCGAATAATAAAGTCTAGATGTTCCTGCCTTGGACAGGCGCAAAAATGCGGCGGGGCTAAGCATGTTTTGTGGGATCTCAACTCCCCTATACCCTTAGCAAATGATGAACAAACAAACCCACATATATACGCACAGTAAAACTCAGTTTAAAAGAAGTCCACTGAAGTCCGATGTTGGAATAAGTAACAGAAGAAACTAAGCAAAATTACAATGATCAACATAAATGGGTCTCCTCACGGGGTTTTTGATTATATGTGACTACTTGGCCGTTTCTATAGTGATTATTTGATTACCAGACCAAGTATTTCATGATTATTTGATTATTTGATAATTTAGGACTGTATTTTTGATTATTTGATTATCTTGTTTTAAAAATAGTTAATGATTATGTGATTATATTGGCAAAGAATTTGTGATTACTAGTATGTGATTACTTGGACACCCCCATGAGGGGCCTCATAAATTAACAAAGAACTACTAGCAGTTCCTCAAATGCCAGCTCAAGAGGCTCAGTAAAACTGAATGAAAATCAAGCACAATCCCTCTCGTTAGGGGTTTAGTATCATGCCATAATAAATTATACAAGAAGAACATATAACCCGTAACGGTATCATGTCAACAAATGGTTTTAGAATAAATGTGTTTATTTACGCTTGAATGCAAAGACTCTATGAGTGAATCAATATTAATTCCAAAAAATGCCATCTTTAATGACTTGACAACAGTATAGTAGCTATCCCCCTTCTGAATAAGTCTGTTTAAAGACCTTAGATTTGGTTCACTTTTGAGGTGAATGACGACATTTTTGTGTTTTGTATAGAATATTACCATCAAGGATGGGATGTGAAATACCTGACCGTATAAGATGTCCACAAGTAAGAATAGACTTGAAGCCTTGAAGATGTGTTGCGCTAAAGAACTAGATGAAACAATTTCAGAATTGCTTATACAAATTCTTGATATAACGGCAAAGCGTTAAATATCACACTCGGTTAAAATAAATCAAAGAAGCCTTCATGCACACAGGTGCATGTAGAGTAAACAATTCAAGATTTTGAT